GGAGTTCAGTTTAAACAAACGCAGACGCAGAAGGAAAAATCGATAATAAACTGTTCCGTTTGCTTCTGTGTCCTTTGGTTAATTATATTTTTTTCCTCGGTGTGTTTTTATGCTCCACGGAGTCCGGGTTTTTAGCTCAAAAAAGAGAATCCTGCAGTGGTTCTGTTCGGAGACGTGCACGCAGGTCCCCAATATTCCTTCCGCAAGTGGGCTCTCTCTTCTGGCTAGCTAGTTTACGTACCTGCCCTCTTCTTCTTTTCCCAAGTGTTTGACGTGAATGGACAGAAAGGATAGAATGCCCCATAAAATGTGTTTCTTGAAAAAAAATGGGGCGCCTGGGTGGCTCAGTCAGTTAAGCGTCTGACTCTTGATTTTGGCTCAGGTCATGATCTCACGGTTCGTGGGATCAGAGCTCTGCGTGGGGCTCTGTGCTGACGGCGTGGCACCTGCTTGGGATTCTCTCTCTCTCTCTCTCTCTCTCTCTCTCTCTCTCTCATTCTGCCCCTCCCCCAGCACACGTGTGCACATGTGCTCTCTCTCAAAAAAAAAAAAAAAAAAAATAGAAAATGCAGGCTCGCCAAAATCATAATAAAAAAAATTCACGGGTAATCCTACCAGCACTATCCACCATACCCCTAGTGGTTTATGGTCTTCCCCATGTTAATACATAATGCTTTTAACACATGCATTTTTATTGTTTTATGACAGTGGCATTCCACTGTAAACACTCATCATTGTTTGCCTTTTTATTCAATAAATAACGTATCTGTGTACCTCTTGTTGTAAATCAGGCGCAAACCGCATCACCCATTTTCAGGCTGTGCCACAGCACGTTGCCCGGAGGTGCCATAATTTATGTAAATAATCTCTTTTTGGGGCGCCTACAGGCACGCCACAGCTTTTCTGTTCCAGGCAGTTCTGCAGGAATCCCTTTGCTCGGATTCATGGAGCTAATTGTTTCTATTATCATACATCACCATTGGAAGTTTTGGGGGCAACAGGCACCCACAGTTTCAAGGTAGATATTGCCAAATTATTCGTATCGATGTGCACCAGTTTACAGCATATATGAGCATGGAGTCATTGATTCTTTTAGTCACGAGCATGTGTTATGCGCCTGCTGTATGCCACGTGCAGCTCTTGGTGGAGGGAGAACTCATTTCTCCACATTTTCAGTATCCCTTTTATAGCCATATCAGGACTTTCACTGCTTTGTTAGGCAGCTCTTTGGTGGCTATTGAGATTGAATGTCCCCTGCTATTTCTCCGTTATTTCAAATTTCACTCAGTGTGTTGAATATATCGAATGCCACACATCCTGTGCGAGCATGTTCCACATCGTCATGCCTTCGGACTGCCCGCCTCTTCACCTCTTCCGTCCTGCCTTCATCCCTTCATCCCTTCCTTCTGAGGCAGGTGAGAACGTCACATGCTGCACGTTCTACGGGGTCCATTTCCAGTCGATTGAAACCCTTCTCCGCTGCTTTATTAATTTGGCCACTGTATTTTTCATCTGAAAACATCTGCCCCTGCTCTCCCAGCATTCATTTTTCATCAAAGTCACGCATTCCAAAATTATTTGGAGCCTGAGAGTTAAAGATATTTGATTTGATTTGAATTTTATTTTGTTTATTTATTT